AATTTCCATGTCTACTGACGGGAGACATCATCGTCATGTAGCCTAGAAATATGGATACAAGATGGATTTTCCCCCGTAGTCAGCAAACGCACAAAGCGTTGATTGTGTACAGGTTTTGTTCCTTTATAGCACTGAGCATTGTGCTGTTGGGTCTGTATTCCACTTGGAAATCAGGAGCTTACCAGCTTGGCTGCTGAGCTTCTGCATCCTGAGTGGAAGCGATTTAGTTGTGCTCGCTCGTGTTAGTGTCCCACTAAACCTCACTTCTTGTTTATGCTGTTTCAACACCCGCTCGGTCTTCGGCAGCTCCGGCACTGTACTCTGCACCCGTCTTGCATTATTCATGTATGTGTGTGCATGAATAAAAAGCAGTTAAAAGGGGGGACAACTTTGAATTATACTTTGTTAGCATGAAGGTTGCATTAACAGTTTTAAGCAGATGCAAGACGCTGCTACTTTCAACTGTGACAGTTTTCAGTTAAGTTGCCAAACTTGTAGATCTAGTAGACCAGTTCCTTTTGTCGTTTGCAACTTAAACTGCTAAAAATAATAATCGGGAATGTAAATAATGATTTTTGGAAGTTGATTTTAGTTCGATTATGAATGAATAAGTTCAGGAGGCATCTCACAACTTCATGTACCTTCACCACATCCTGTGCTATGATCTGTGAGTCTGAAGAGTTCACTCGCAGTGATTGGCGACTTCTGATCAAAGCCAATTGGAGGCTTTTGTGTGCGAAGGCTAAAACTTTTCTGTGAAAAAAATGTGGCTAAAAGTTTTGTCTCATGAACGAGTCTTAACACGATCATTTCATCTCATTTGACATCTCACGCGTCCTCAGAGGATTTTTGTTAAAGTTGACTTGGATTGAGGTTTTCCTCTCTGATGCTACGCAGGCAAAGTCAACTGAGGGACTCCATTCCCTGCTGCCGTCAGTGGGGCTGAACTCACCTGACGGAGATTTGACTACACAAAGAAAGTTTCTGTGTCGCTCTCTCTGCAGCAGTTGTTGCCTCAATGAGATGCAATGTTTGCATGTCTGACATCAGCGGTAATATCACACACACACTCCCCCGGTCTCTGCTCTCTATCCATGTGTCCCAGCCTGTGTTGAACTCAGGTGACACAGGCAATTTTTCATACATGCAACCATCTGCATACGGGGTGTGTGTGTGTGTGTGTGTGTGTGTGTGTGTGTGTGTGTGTGTGTGTGTGTGTGTGTGTGTGTGTGTGTGTGTGTGTGTGTGTGGCGTGCCCTGACTGTCCTGAGGCCAGCTCTCCACACCAGAACGGAGCCGAGCAGCATCTGACCAGCTGTCCTCCTCGCAGCTAGCAGCATGTTATGTCCTCTATCCATTCTCTCTATTCCCATCTTATTTTAATTTATCCAGCTCTCTCTCACCCTTTTATTCTTTGTTCGTTCCCTCTCTCTCGCCCCTCTTTTTGTTTTTTTTTTCCCTCCCTCTTATTCCTCAGACTCCATTCTTTTATTCCTCAATCACCTCAGCCTCTCAGCTTGGACAGACCCTCCCTCCATAGACCATCATCATCCTTCTCTATCTTGACCTTCCACCCGTCTCACTTGCTGTGCCTCCCATTCCACACATCACTTTTGTCACTTGTCTAATTCAACCTCATCTCCTTCTCATCTCAACCCTCCTGTCTCCCTCTTCTCCCCCGTAACCTCATCCTACAACTGTGCTCAATAACATCCGTCTGCCAACCCCTCTTCCTCCCTCTTCTCTCCATATCACCCGTCTTGTGTAACCACAAAAGAATCTCTTGTCTTCTCGTCTCACTGATTCGTCATTGTAACTGTCATATGACCTCAATACTTCTCCTCCTTCCCTTTTTCTCCCCTTTCCAGCTTTAGACTTCACATCATACCACGTTTTTTGTGCCTTGGTTCATACATACTCTTACATAGAATTAAAAATATATCTGCCTTGGATATCAGAGCAGGAGAGGATTGGGAAGGCAGATCACTCTTTTCCCAGAGAGGAAACACGAGGATTTGGCTGCTGTCTTCATTAGGGAAAGGGCTCAGAACTTGTTCAGTCTATTTCCATCCTAATCAGCTCACGCCTCTCACTGCTCTCTAACTTGTGCAGCGACAGCCACAGAGCACTGAAGACAGCATTTGGACAAATGAAGAAGATAAGTGGAAGAAAACTGTTAAATATGCATGTTGTGAATAACAGTTACTATTTAACAATGTGCTAGAAATGTTCCTTTTGTTTCAAAATCCACTGGATAGGAACGGGGAAAAAAACAGGGGAAGAATAGAAAAAGTAATTGAGCATGAAGGGAACCACAAGGTGTTTAAGATGCAATGCTGCACCACTTCAAAAACATTGATGTCATTGTGCTACCATGGTCATAATGTTATTAATCTGAGGATCAGCAGGAACAGTATGATGTTTACCATCATCTGAGTTTATCATATTAGTTTAAGATCAGAATTATTTCGTGCATAATCGTATTTGTCACAGTTTTGTCATAAATTAACTTATGATAATTATATATGGGACACAGTGTGCATATTGTACGTCTTCTGCTCCTTAATTGATGTGCCAATTAAGTTCAGGTGTCCCACATGACTGGTGTAACAAAGAAAACCATAATCATGCTCTTGTTTAAGCCACAGATCTAAAGTAAGTTATCGTTGAGGCTTGGAGGAAAACGCTGCCTTGTATTAGCATAGAAACATTTTTCAGCTGAGGGTGATGATGTAAGTGACAAATGTGAATATTTCTCACTGTCGCAGCTAAAGGGAACAAGTGATCACCAAAGTCAGTTGGATTTGTCCTCTGGGAGCCATGATAATCTTTACCACATTTCATTGTAATACATTCAGTAGTGCTCAGTATTTAGGGATCTCCAAACCCAGTGGGATCATCCTCTGGCGACCATGAATCTTAAAAAACGAATGGAATAAGAGTTGTTTTTTCAGTCTCAATCAATATGCACCAAACAGACATTTTATAAAACTGCTACGGCACAGAATCTATTTCTAAGCTTTTACTTTAGTCATTCAATTTATAGTTTCCCCATTTACAGGCAACAACGATATCATTATGTAAACACAATACATTTACTACATGTCATTTTCTTTAGAAGTTTTACTGTGAGTTTGAATCCCAAGTCTTTTTGATAAACCCAGAAATTCAACTCACGGAGAAAGAGAAGAGATTCAACCACAAATCTCCCCTGAAAACTTTTTTAAATCTACACTGTGAAGTTATAAACATTCATCTACATTTATAACCATCTGTTTACCGTGCTGTCTTCTTCCTGTCTGTCTCGCTCACTCACCCTCATCTCCGTTTCTCCTTTCTCTCTCTCTCTCTAATTGGCCTGGAGGATTAAATGTGTTTAATTAAGAGGTGATTATGTGTAGACGGCTGACACAGCAGGATCAGGATGGCTTCATCCCATTGTCCCGACTGTCATCGCCCTGTACCCCCGTTCAAACCCCCAACACACACTGAGACTTTCTCCTCCATATGTCTGCCTGGTTTATTCCTGATTTAACACCTCTCTCACTGTCATTTCCTTTTTCTAATGTTACCAACGTATCCTTTGCAGTTATAACTCATGTTTCTCACTGATTTAAAGCTCAGGAATGATTCATTAAATAAAAGATAATTATTCCACGTACACATTTACATTAAGGACAAAGAAAAATGCTGTTATAATTTATTCCATATGTATTGAAATGCATGTGCATATTTCAGAGTCTGATTATATAATCATTTGGAAGACGACAAAAAATGTCAGAGACAAAGCAATGTGAGAAAGCAGAGGAGGTGAAAAGGGAGGATTTAATGGCTGTGGAAGAAATGGAGGGAGCGAGGGAAAGCAGTGCAGAAAACAACAAAGTGCTAATAAGCAGAACGCAGGGTGAAAAAGAGGCCAAAAACTTGTTTATTGCAATTGTGGAAAGATGAAAGTGAAGGGATCAGCCTCAGCAATTTCCCTTTTGTCTGTAAATGCTGCAAGTGCAAGTGCATGTGTGTGTTTAGGAGCGTGAAATAAAAAACTGCACTTGAATGATTCATTTAGGAACCAGAGCACATGGTGAATGATAATTGATCGACTTTCTGGATTCGGCTGAACTGATGATTAACTTGATCTTAAGTGGTTTACAATGAACTCCTTCATCTACTGCACAGTCACACGAGTCAACCTGGTTAGGGATACAACAGGACCAGAGCACGACTCGCAGTTTTCTGTTAAGCCTAATGACGAGCATAAAATTGTGAGGCAACAGGGACCTCTGTCCTTGAAAACAGGCCATCGCTCTCAACACAAATGAGCCCCCAGGAAATACTGTACGCCCACTAATTTGAGTCTCAATCCACTTAAGACGCACAGGATTGTGTTGAGCATGCATGTGTGTGTGTGTGTGTGTGTGTGTGTGTGTGTGTGTGTGGTCAGAGCATCCAGAGGAAGAGCGGGACAGATGGGTCACACAGTGTTCCCTCAGTGGTTTTGGAGCTGGAGCACGGCTAATTACATCCTGATTAAAAATGACCTGTCCCTGCGCCTCCTCGTCCATGGATGACACATGTGAGCTTGTGTGTGTGTGTGTTTGTGTGTGAGAGAGTGCACGTGTGTTTATGACAGAGAGACAGCAAATGAGTGTTAGACCGCGTGAGTGTGTGTGACAGGAAGAGCGCTGGCGGAGAGTGGATGTTTGAGGAAGAAAAAAAAAAGTGAAATGTGAATTTAAAAAAGAAAGTCTTCAAATTAATGGATTAACAGTTGAAATATTCAAGTAATACATGAAGAGTAAAAAGTTAATAAATAGAATATTATTTATTACAGTAAATATATAAAAACATGATAAAACCTGACAAAATCTCAAAATAAAGAAAAACTAGTAGTTTTTCCGACGCAACTGCTGAAACTCTGTTGTCAGTGATTTTACATCTGCTCAGTTCGCTTGTGTGCGAGCTGTTGTGTAAAGATACGAAGACCTGCACTGGAGACTGACCGTTGTTGGCGCGCAGTGCCCTGGCGGAGATGCCGTTGGTGCCTATCGGATGATGAACCCCGGTTCCGTCCACCACTCCTGCCTCTCCTGGCTGCTTCAGAAGCTCTGTCAGAGTCCTGGAGGGAGAGAAAATTCACATTTACAGCTTCCTGCAAACAAACTGAGAAGAAAACACGACTTTAAACGTTGTGTATTCTCACATGTGTACTCAACACACAGGAAAGAGGCAAGGAAAGAGGAGAAGGGCTGAGGGGAGAGCATTAGATGTGCGTCAGAGTTGGGATAGAGTGAGGATAAAAACGGGTTTGAAACAAGATTGTGATCATTGAAGATCGTGCCCACAAAAACAAAACCAGACAGAGACGCTCGGAGTAAAATCCGAGGCAGTGGAATCGAGGATAACAAGAAGAGTCTCTGGATGTTTCCCAACTGGTCGCGTCAATCATTTATAAAAAGAAAACGACTTCCCCTCTTGCCATCTTTTATTGTTTGATGCCTCCTGAAAACTGGAACATGGGCAGGAAGCAGCCTTCCAGCACGAAGACTTAACTCTTCAGGAGCACACAGACCCTGTTAAAGGTTTTGAAATGTTGAGAACTTATTTAAACAGTTAACTGGTTTGATGTTGTAATTAAGGGAACGTGCTACAGACTTTTGTCACGTTGTCATCACTTCTGTTGGCTAACACAATTAAACCAGAGAAAGGCACAAACCTTCAGTAAGTTGAAATAGAAGCAGGGTCACTTATGTTTCCTTTTCCATCATTTTATTATACTTTATATTTGCCATTAAAGGTTTCTGACTGTTGAACTGATGAACATATTTGGTGGTGGATGCTGAAATTCTGATGTTTCAATGGAGAAACAGACTTTTTATACAAGTCAGCCATGTTAATCTGATTTGTCTCAAACGAGGCTGCTTCGCTGCTGTATGAGTGATCACATTTCAACTGCTGCAATAAACATCCCAGATGGAAACCACAAGGAAATTACTTCTACTTATTTTAGAGTGTCAGTTCCGCTCCTTAAGCCAAAAGAATAAAAACTGGAAATGCACTCGGAGAGATGTTAAACTTCTACTGTCATTTTAAAGTTTTACAATCCCACATGGTCCTGACCCTACCCCCCCGCCAACACGCCAAGATGAATCCACGACGGATTGAAAACACCCAGTACCACAAACAAAAGCTAAAATCCTGTACACAGCTCCACTCATGTGAAAAGTTTGATTTGATTTCCTCTGTTGACCTCAAACTCTCTAATTGGCTCCATAAACTCTGCAGCGTTTGCACATATTAACGAGAACCAAAAGTGAGGGCTCAGCATCAACACGTCACCGTTGACAAGGAAATTACAGCAACATCGTCAACAAATCAGCTGTGACCCGAGAGCCGCTATCGAGAGACCCATGAATATTTCCTCACCGTTAATCTCGCCGTTGAAACCTTGGCACAACCTTCGAGAATGCAATGGAGCAATTGTCTTTTTTATTAGCCCGCTGCGAAACGACTGCCTGTGGTAACGAGAGCAGTAAGCATAAAAAAACATGAACACCAGCACAATGTGAAGCAGCAGATCTGCAACAGGGATAAAGGATTTAATACGTGGCCAAATTTGTGATTTTTATTTTATTTTGTTTGTGTGATTTTTTCCCCCAAATGAAGGCACTAAATGTTTAGCACTGACTTTGCTGTGATGACTTTTGGCACATGTCTATAGTAACTCCATCAACCGCTGACATTCTCTGGAGGGACTGTATGTGTCAGAGTGTGAGGCTCCAGACTCCGAAGCTGGAGTTTTTCCTGTCTCCAGATAAAACTCCAGATAATGTCCAAATGTCTTAAAAAAGATAAAACACATACAGATGTCCCCGGATGCCAACAAAGTAGAGGCTGATGAAGATGTCATGAGGACAGAGTCCAGCGTCAATGTGCTGTCAAGAAAAACACGTGGTCTCCGCAGCAGAATTCATTTGTTACATCTTGCCTTTGCCTGAACGCTCTGGAGATTTCTATGTGAGAAAGTCTGGACCCGAATGTGCGGACATCCTCTGGAGTTCATGACTGATGACGGTTATGGCAATGTCAGTATATACTTATCAAAACTCATCTGCTCAGCATGAGAAGTCAATCTCACTCTGGAAGAACAGCTGTCGGTGATTAGGATTTATCTCAGATTAAATTTAGATGCTACGATGTGATAGAAACCGGCCATGTCCGCTTTTACCAGTCAGACTTTAAGTAACTGTGCAGCACAAAATCAAAAGTATCAGACAGGGAAAAAAATAAAATTAAACTGGTATTTCGTTTTTTTCTTTTTTCCCTCGACACAGTTCTCGCAGCGAAGGTGCCATTAAGCAATATCCAGCCGCTCCAGTGGAGCTGCACAGCGACATGTCAGTCGTCTGTGGTTGTACTCTGGGCAGCTCCCTGGTGTCTGTGTGAAACAGGGTGTTGCTGAAAAGCTTTTAGCTCAGCAGAAACTCTCCTGCACAAACTAATGTTAGGGAAAAAAGTCTTTTTGAAATTAGTCTCCTGATGGGAATGATAAGTAATCTCTTCTGTCTCCCCCCAAAGAAATGTTAATCTGTGAAAGGTCAGTAATGTAATTTATTCTCACGGTAAAAACACAAACTATGAGATTTCTATTTTTTATTTCCACAGGAAAATGTATTTATATACATATGGTGGCCCAAGTGCAACTCACGACTACAGGGTTATGGTTAACAATAAAAAAACATGACAACAAACCAAAAAACACAATGAAGAGCTTTGTCGTTGAAATGAATGTTACTGTGTTTTGTTGCGATTGTTTTTTGGGGGCGTTTTATGATTTGCTTTTGTGCAATGTAATTTACTGTTGTGTAATGTGATTGGTTGTTTCCTGACAGGTTGCTGTGTGTTCAGTGCCACCGTACATCGGCTGTGCAAACATGGAGAGTAAGAAACACACGTCCTGTCCACACACATGCATCTCAATTGACCTTTGCATTTTCTGCCTGCTGGCCAATCCATTTTCTCTCTCTCATCTCATTAATATCTGTCCACGTCTATGCCACCACTTCATTTGTCTTCCACTCTCCCCCCC